ATAATTTTCCTCATTTTTCCTCTCCATTCCCTGTCCTCCCAATGCATCCCTCTTTCACAACCCTTCATTTTTTAGATCACCCCAATATAACTGACTGATACCTATATCTTCTATTTATGTAGACTTCTTCTAACCACCCTAAGAATGACAAAATTCTTACAAGCTACATGTATCATCTTCCCATACAGACATGTAAACTGCTTAACCTTATTGAATCCCTTATGATTTCTCTTTTATGTTTACCTTTTTACACTTCTCTTTAGCCTTCTGTTTGAATGTCAAATTGTCTGCTCATCTCTGATCATTTTATCAGGAATGCTTACAAGTCCTCTTTTTCCTTAAATATTCATTTTTTCACACTCAGTTTTTCTGAGTGGGTTCTTCTTGGTTGTAATCCTAGCTCCTTTGCCTTCCAGAATATTAGGTTCCTAGCCTTGCATTTCTTGAACATGTAATGTGGTAAATCTTATGTGATGTTGACTGTGGTGCCATGATATTTGAATGTTTTTTTTTCCTGGTTACTTGTAATATTTTTTCATTGACCTGGGAATTCTGGAATGTCCCTATAATATTCCTGGGAATTTTAACTTTGAGATCTCTTTCAGGAGATGATCAATGGATTCTTTCCATTTCCATTTTATTTTCTAGACTTTTCTAGATACTGGGACAGTCTTCCTTTACATTTTCTTGAAATATGATGCCTAGGCTCTTTTCTTGATCATGGCTTTCAGGTAGTCTAATAATGCTTGAATTATCTCTCCTCCATCTATTTTCCATGTAAATTCTTTTTCCAATGAGATATTTTACATTTTCTTCTATTTTTCATTCTTTTTGTTTCATTATTAGTTGCTGTCTCATGGAGTCATTAGCTTCCACTTGCCAAATCTATTTTTTGAGAAATTATTTTCTTCAATAAAGTTTTGTATCTCTTTTTCCATTTGGCCAATTTTCTATTTTAAGGAGTTGTTTTCTTCAGTGAATTTTTGTGCCTCTTTCACCATTTATACAATTCTGTTTTTTTAAGTGTTATTTGCTTCAGTATTTTTTTTGCCTCTTTTATCAAGCTGCTAATTCCCTTTTCACAATTTTTTTTAAATCATTCTCATTCCTTTTCCCATTTTTTCTTTTATCACTTTAATCTTTTTTTTTTTTTTTTGGTGAGGCAATCAGGGTTAAGTGACTTGCCCAGGGTCACACAGCTAGTAAGTATTAAGTGTCTAAGGCTGGATTTGAACTCAGGTCCTCCTGACTCCAAGGCCAGAGCTCTATTCACTGAGCCACCTACCTGCCCCCACTCTTATCTCTTGCTTTAGCTCTTCTAAGAAGTCTTGTTGGTCTTTTCTCCAATCTGCATTTTATGTTAGGCTTTCCTTGTAGGTGTTTTCACATTGTTGTCATCTTCTGAATCTGTGTTTTGATCTTCTCTGTTGCCACAGTAGCCTTTTATGGTCAGTTCCTTTTTTGTGGTGGTGTTTGCTCATTTTTCTAACCGATTTCTTGACATTTAACTTTATGTTAAAATTGGGCTTTGTTCCTGAGATGTGGTGGGCACTTTCTGAAGCTTCAGGCTTTTTCACACTTCCGTTTTCAGCGCTAGTTCTGGGATTCTGTATATTTTTTGATGATTCAGAGATGGTTTGATCCAAGGAGAGGTGTTGTCCCTGCTCTCCTGGCCTGTGTTCTTCTTTAGCTACAAGTGCTAGTGCTCCTCTGATCCCTGGAACTAGGACAAGGGCACCTGCTCTCCCCTGTAGCCACATGAGCTAGTGCTCCTCTCTGCCCACAGGCACAGTCAGAATTGTGTAGGACAATGCAACAGGGTCCTTTCACTCAGTGCCAACTCGAGATCCCCTGTAATCTCTTTCCGACCAGTCGCCTGGCCTCCTTATTGCCTCTGACTGAGAGCTCCCAAAGCTGTTGCTTTCCCACCTGCTCTAAGGCTCACTGCTGGTGCTGCCAAGTGAATGCACTTTGGGCCAGCCCTGATCCCAGTGTCACAGATCTCTCCTGCCTATCTTCTAGGTTATTTAGACTAGAAAAATGCATCACTCCCATTATTTATTGGCTCTGCCACTCCAGAATTTGATTTGACACATTATTTTAAAGTTGTTTGGAAGACAACATTGGGAGGATTCAGATAGATTCCTGTTTCTATTCTGCCATCTTGGCTTTGCCTCCCTTTGGCTTTCTATTCACAATAATTGATAAGCAATCAATTTCTGTTGGTATTATTTTTCTTTTGGCAAAAACATAGCACTGCATCAGAGAAAAGAACTCCCATCACGTGACCTTCTTGCACTAATTCATCCCCTCAACAGCTCTTTAGAAAAATCTATTGCCTGACACTTCTTAGTGTTCTAAATGATTTGGCAATTGCCAGTTGATCTCCTTATCTCTGCAGATAAACCTGAGTTTTCCTTTGACATCAAGATAAACCTATCAAATCAAGGAGTAATAAGTGAGGAAATTATTATTCAAGAAGATGCAGGTAATCATTATGCACAGTGAGCTTGTACTTTATCCTATTTCTTCATTACAATTAGCTATAAATATAGTAATATTAAGAATTGAGTGGATGCTGCTGCAAACAGAACAACAGTATAGAACATCCCTGTCATTCCATTTTAAAGGTCTGAAATAATGGACATTTCTTTATATATTAATCAGTTACAAGACCTTGACTACTGTCATTCACTCCCCCCTCCTTTCCCCAAATTAGTGATTGGCCCTTATTCTTCACTGGAGTTAGTCACATAATTTATTGAGGTTTCAGTTTGGTTAAACTTTGGTTAAAACAAAGTCTTCAGATCAGATGTTTTTCTCTGACAATGTTTGCAGCTCTAAAACACTATTACTAATCTATTTCTTAAAAAAAAACCTTATTCCATCATATGACAATTACACTTGACACAAATGACAAACATTATATTTCATGTTTGTGTTTTTTTTTAACACAAAGCAATACTTCATGGGCTATTGTTCCATTTTCAACTTCTTTGAATTTCTAAAAATCCCAATTAGTTTTGTTGAAATCCACAAATTAATATTTTATACTTTCACATATCAAAACCACCTCCAAATATAGGCTAAATGAACTTACTGGTTCTGAAAGGTAAAATATATTGAAAGGAGGTAGACTGATTTCTGACAATCAAATGGATTAATATTCCAAGGGCCTTACTAATGTGGAGAGTTTTGTGGCATAGGTGGGTTTTTTCTCCCCAAAATCACATATTTACACTTTTGATTAATTTATAATGAGGATTTGTATTTAATAGCGTTTACTTCTTACTCAGGAGAGGGCTTTGTGTTTAAAATAGCACAAAGTAGCAAAGAAACATCTAGTGACAGTGGTGGTAAGGTTTTTCACAATATTTTTACATCTGGTGATTTCATCATACATGCAGTCATTGGAGAAATGTTGAGATTCAACTCTGTCAGTCAAACAGTAGACTGGCAGCTAATCTAGTAAACTTTTCAGAATGAAATACTTTGAGAAATTCCTCTTGTAAATTAATAATACTTTGCTATACTTAGATTCTGACTTAGGAATATTCAACAGGACCAATCCATTCATTGGAATAATCAATGGGCCACCTTTGTTCCATACCAGTAGAACCTTTCCCTCCAGTTCCAACCAGAGCTGCTGCAACAGTCTTTTCCTACACACTCCGACTACATCACCAAATCTTCAATCACCAAACCTACCCACAACAGAGTTCCCATTTTCACCCTTCCTTTTTCATAGAGACTTGGTGCCTAGTGACACACTGGGTGTTCCTGTGAAGCTACAATATGGATCGAGGAGACTTTCATGGATTACTCAGAGAAACTTATTTATAACATTACTCGGGTAGAATTTTAGCTATTTGAGGGTAAAGGCTATACCTTCTTCACCTTTACTTATTTAGCACCCCTGGGGGTAGAGTTGGTGTTTTCTATATGTTAACTAAATTAATGTTCATTCAATGTGGAAATACCTGATTTACAAACAGACTCTACTGTTTAAGATTTTGGCACCTTTTTACTTTGGGGATTTTCAACTAACATGAGTGGATGGAATATTCTTTTGTAGGTGGGTAGGGGTTATAAAAATCTGTGTCTGCATCAGTGTAAGGAGCTGACAGTTGGCAGCTTCTCCACTGATATCTGATTGGCAACACATCAGAAACCTGGGACCTTAGAGAACTGTCTGACATTTTTACTATCCCTTAAAATGTTTTTTGTGTACCAATTTTTGAGCTTTCTGTATTTATGGTTTACACATAAATGTCACACCTTTAGATGAAGAGTACATGGAGCCAAGTGGCAGGAAACCATATACAGAAGAAGAAGAAGCCACATACCTTCTAGGATGGTGAGCTTCCACTTTTGCCTAAAATTTATTAGAATTAGCTTTGTAATGAGGACTGAGATACTCTGAATAGGTCCTTTTAGAAAGTGGACAAAGTTCTAATGAAAAAATAATCTCCAGCAAAACATATATTTTAAGTAATCTTTCCAAGTGACATTAAAACAAGTAGCATTTAAAATTTGAATGGCTACTGCTACAAAGATGGCAGTGAAATATATCATCTGCACATTACTTTTATTAAAAGGCTTACTATTTTCGGCATTTATTTATGTATTGACACTATCAGTCACTCCTTAGAACATGATTGTTCAGTGTACAATTGTTTCCATAGTCTGTTATGTCTCTTGAGAATGTATGAAAGCCATGGCTCTAGTAACTGGGTTACAGTGTCACCTGGTAAGAAAGGCTTAAGAGACTATTAGGGTTTAATTCTGCTCCTGACTCAACAGGCAGTTTAAGAATGAATTTAAAGACAAAGAGACAATACAAAGTCTAACAGCATGGTGTTGCTATCAAACACCACTAACTTATACATTAGGGAAAGAGACATTTATGAAATTCAAAATATTGAATGATATTCATATGTTTAAGTCTATATGGACTCACAAGTCACCATATTCAACAAAAATACTCAAATTTTATTTACTATAATATGTCCATATTCAAGAAGTACTTCTGTGTTTCTTCAAAGAAAGTAAACCTCTCTCTGAGTTTGCTTTCTTTCAGTTGAAAAACTGAGAAAAGGAATATATAAATATATACATTAAGCACTATGTTAGAAGGAAAGCTTCATTTTCTTATTCCTATATTTGAGATGGAATTGATCATGGTTCATTTAACTTGCCCTCAAGGAACCATTTCTCAATTGTCCTCCTTCTATTCCTTTTATTTCTTTTCTTACCCCACTGAAGTTGATGACTCCATGAACCTACAATGGATTCCATGCTTATAAGATACTGATTTCAGCACAAGGCACTCTTTAAATGCTAGAGAATTATCCTACACTGTTCCATCCCTGAACATATGCTTAGAGTCTATTTGAAGTTTGAGGTTGTTTCTCACCATAATGACAATTTTTTAATGGGATAAATTAATGTCATTGAGTCATGCTAGCATTACTATGTTCCAAGCATGGTCTATGGGAGTAAAATACAGGTTCCAACCAAGATTCCTCAAAAGGGAAGGACTTGACAGACATGGAAAGGCAACAAGGATAAGATTCAGTCACCTGTCCAAAGAAAATAAAGGATACGGATTGTAATGGGAAGTGTGATTACACTGATAAAAAAAACTCCCAAGAGGAAGAAACTCCCTCTATTAGGCTTCTTCTCCTCCAATTTTAGGGTTAGATTCGAAGCATTCCGAGAGTTCTCATGGTACTTTGTATGTTCAAGCAGCAACAGATACAGTAGAGGTGGGAATCCATTCTAGCCCTCCTGACTCAGAGGGGCAGCCTTTCTACTCCCTGGGAATTTGGAATGAATCACTTAACTGCTAAAGCCTGCAGTTTCTTCATGAGTACAGTGAGGCTGTCAGACTGGATGACCACTTTCTTTATGACCTCTCTTCCAGCTCTAGCATATTCTTCCCATTTTGTCTATATCCAGAATTCTAAAGCTCTTGTCACTCTATGAGAGTGGGACCTGAACCTGACAGGGCAAACAACCCTTTGCATTGGTTTCCATGCTTTTTTATGGTAAGTAGTATTTTGTGGGCTTTCTCTACATGGTATATTAGAATTTTTAAAATCCCAATTAATTTTCTCAATATTTACAAACTCAGGTAATATTTCAAAGAATAAGAGACACCTACAGAGGGAAGTTGGACAAATGATATAGAGACTCAGAAAATTAAAATTATTTTTAGAGTCATATGAATAGACTTTCCCTCGATCAACTGGATTCATCTTCTAATCTCCTTAGCAATAGAAAGTGGTTATGAAGATCTTTTGAGAAATTATATATTCATACATTTGACATTTTAAAATAAGGAATTACATTTAAAAGTGTTTACTTCTTGTTCAAGGTTGGTTCCTGTGTGCAAGGTCATCTAAAACAGAGAAGAAAGTTCTAGTGACAGTGATAGTGAGTTTCTCTGATGATTTTATCATATAGTATAACAGCCTAATCTAGCAAAATTTTTTAAGAAATACATACATGGAAGAATTCCACTCTAAATGAACATCCCATAACTATATTTAGTCATTGACTTAGGAACATTTCAAAAGAACTATTCACTCATAGGAACATTGAGTGGCCACTTTGTCCCATGCCAATAAAGCCCTTCCCTCAAGTTCTCATAAGACTTAGTACAATCTTTTTCTGCTCAAAAACAAGTTCAGTTGTTTTAGTGGTGTCTGACTGTCGTGACCCCATTTGGGGTTTTCTGGGCAGAAAAAGTGGAGTGGTTTTGCCATTCCTTCTACTGCTCAGTTTACTAATGAGGAACTAAGGCAGACAGGGTTAAGTGACTTGTCCGGGGTCACACAACTACTAAGTGTTTGGAGATAGATTTGAATTCACAAAGATGAGTCTCCCTGACTTCAGAGCCAGCACATTATCCACCTAGATGCATTCTACATACCCCCATCCCACCATCTAACCCCTAGTGACCAAGAGTATCAGCAGTAAAGCTCCCATTTTCACCTTTTCTTTTTCACAGTAACTTGGTATGCAATGATATAAACTGAATATTCCTCTTCAGCTGAAATATGGAATGAATATGCTTTTGTGTGGGCAGCTAAGTGGCACAATGGATAGAGTGCTATGCCTAGAGTTAGGAAGATTCATGGATCCCATGCTTATAAGGTACTAGAGATCTTTTTATGCAAAAGACATGCTTTTACAAGACAGAGAATACTTTAAACAAAGGTTTTCTTCTTTTTCATGGCTTTTCCCTTCTATTCTGATTCTTCTTTCACCACATGACCGAAGTGGAAATATGTTTAACACGACTGCACACGTATTACCTATATCAGATTGCTCCCTGTCTTGGGTGGGGGGCAGAGAGTAAGGTGTAAGAAGACTAGAAAAGTAGGAAAGGATGATGTTATGAAAGGCCAACCAACTGAATGCTACAATAGTCTAGGCAAAAGGAAATGAGGACCTACAAGAGAATGGCAACAGTATCAGAGCAGAGGGCATATTCAAGAGAACAGTGTGAAGGGGAAATTGAAAGAATTTGGTAACAGAATGGATCTTGAGAGGTAAGAGATGGTGAACAGTCAAGAACACCACCTAGGTTGTGTGTCTGGGGGGACTAGGAGGATAAGTGTTGCCCTTAATAGCAATAGAAATAATAGAATATGGCAGTGTGGAGGAGAATAATAATGAGTTCAGTTTTGCAAATGTTGAGTTGAAGATGTCCTCAGGATATCAGATGCAAGACTGGAAGTCATCAGAAGTTAGTATTAGACAAGTAGATTTGAAAATCATTAGCACAGAGAGAACTGAATCCATGGCAACTCATGAGCTCACTAAGCAAAATGGTATACAGGGAGAAGGCGGCTCAAAACAGCGCCCTATGCATTGTGGGACACCCAAGGTAGGCAGACGCGACCTGGATGATGAATCCCAGGAGACTGGGAAGGGAGTGATCAGATAAGCAGGAGCATAACCTGGAGGGAAAGAAAATTTAGAGAGAACAGACTGTCAAAGAGAAGACAGATATCCACAGTGTCAAAGGCTGCTGAAGAAAGGTTAAAAAGGATGAGGAATGAGAAAATTTAATTTGACAATGAAGATTTCTTTAGAGAGCAGTTTCAGTTAAATGTTGAGGTCATAAGTTAGATACAGACAGTAAAGAAAGTGAGAGGAGAAATGGGGACAACTACTGTAGGTAGCCTTCTCAAGAAGCTGTTACAAAAGTCAGGATAGATATGGGACTAGTTAGAGGGATGCAAGGATCAAGTGAGTACATGCACATGTTTGTAGGAAGAGAGAGACTGAAGATAAGTGAGAGGGGGCATGATAGAAGGGCAAAACTTGCTGGCGGAGATGGGATGGACTGAAATCATTTCTGCAGGTAGAAAGGTTTGCTTTGTCAAGAAGGATGGCCACATTCTGCATGTGAGGCAGGTGAAGATGGAGTTAGCGGCAGAAGGCATTTGAGTGTTATTAAATGAGGAGGAAGGAGAACAGGGAGCCTCAGTGAACAACCTCTCATTTTTTCAGTAAAATAGGAAGCAACATTCTCAAATGTGTGGGAAGGGCCGTGGGAGGTATGAGGTGAGATGAAAAGTTTGGAAGAGGTATTGCCAGTGGTAATGAAGGTCCAGTTTAGGTCATGTAGCATAAAAACAGAGCATGGGAAATCTGACTGACCAGTCAGAACACATGAGTGATTTTTCTCCAGCTTTATACAGCAGAGTATATGTAGAAGACAAGGCTCAGGCTTTGAAGGGTGCAATCAGAGAGGATAAAATAAAGGGACAAAGGATTTTACAAGAGGACACAGGAGACCTGGACTGGCTGACCAAGGTCTCAAGAAAGGGAAAGGAAGGGAGTGGCTAGTGAAGGACTGGGTGGCCTCAGAGACAAGTCTGAGGGGTTGAAGGACTGAAGGTCACAGTATGGATGAAAAGCAAGATTTAGTATTAGAAGGCAGAAGAGATAGAGGAAGAAAGCCTATTGACTGATCAGAGAAGGGAATCTCAAGAGTTCATGAACTCTTAATATGGAAGTGGTACATTTGTTGATGATGACTAGATCAAGGGTGATCTTTGTGTGTGGCTGAGGCGGGGTAAAGAAGTAGGTCACAGAAAACAACTAAGTTGAGAAGTGGGAGGTTAGGGTATTTGAGGGAGCATGCTGAAAGTCCCCTAGTAGGACAGGAGGAGTTTGCAAGGAGAAAGACTGTGAGCCAGATACTAAACTTACTGAGGACAGAAAGGAAGTGTCCTGTCAATCAGCAGACAATAGCTACTAGAATTTTGATTGGCTGGCAGATACGGATTGAGTGAAGCTCAAAGCCAGGCAGGTTACTGAATCATAGTGGTGGAGAGAGAACCTGGAAAAGAGGAACATGGAGTTTTCCCTCAACTTGCACCAGGAGTCGAGTCAGGTGTGGATAGGGGGCAGAGTAAAAGTAGAGTCAGTGATAGAAAGGGTGGCCAGGAAAGCTGTGCCTTTAGCAGGGATCCAGGGCTCAGTGAGATCCAGAAAATGGACGGAGTGGGAAAAGAAAAGATCTAAGATGAAATCAAATTTGTTACCTATGGAACTCCAGAGAGCACAAAGGAAAGGATGATTAGCTTTAGAATGGGACACTGTGGGGTTGGGGGTAAGGAAGGGAGTGTTGAGTTGAGACAGATGGGAATCAGAGGCCAAGCAAGGTGATAGAGAACAAGCTTTCAATACTGATAGCTATGAGAGTTCAGGATCACTCTAATATGGATAATATGACCAGTGGGCATTGGTTAATCATTACATGAACATTTTCAAGAGATTTCTCATTGTCCATAGTTTTATGACCTCAGGATAGTCCTTCAGAGCCTTAGGCAGTTGAGGTGAGGGACAAGATTTTGAAGCAGAAATGATGATACTCTCATTCCTCCAAGTCAGAAGACCAGACTGGAAATTTGAAGTAATAGCACCCTCTCCTTTCACCTCAAGGGTGGGAGACTATTATGATGAAACAGTACTTCTCCTCACAAAGGAGGCTGGAGACCAGGCTAGCTCATTCATCACTCAATTGTAAGTCTGTTTAAAACGTGGATTTTGAGCAAGAAAACTACAGATTAACTCATATGGTGGTTTGACACACCTGGAACAATTACCAAAAATGCAAGTGACAGATAGCAGTGTAAACAAGAAGTCATCTGAATAATGATAGTGAATGGCACGATTCAAACAAGCCAGTCTTCTGGGCAAAGTTCAAAGCTCCTTCTCTACTCACAGGTCCTCAGCTTTTTAAAATGAAAAATAAAAATCTTTTGTAACTTTGAAAATAACTTAGTGTTCTGAATTGTTCTAAGTCAAAAGTATGGTCTACAGCACAGGATTTCATCAAGACAATATCAAGTCAGGGCTAAGCTTAGTTAAACTGAAGCCATCATGTGGATACCTCCCCAAGATCTAGCAGGCTCCTCTGTATCTACGAAGAAAGTGGGATGTTGAAATGCTATCCCATCTCTTTCAAGATACCAGAATTTGAGATTTTCCCTACAAAAGATAGTAATGTTTATAACTTTTTCTATTTCTAAAAAATCACAGAAGTGAAAATTGGAACAGTCTGCCCAGACAAATGCCTCGTTAGTACATGTTGAAAAATCCCAGGACAAATTTCACTGAATTCCTTCATAGAAAGTCTAATGACTTCAGCCTTATGGTTTCATTGCCAAGAATTCATGTTTTATTTCTGCATATATCAGCCTATTGTGACTCTCTTAGATAGCAACAGAGCAAGGGTCTCTGCTGAGAAATTCTCAATGAAATATACATTCTTAGACTCAATTTATAAACAGTTAAGAAGGGTGGCTTCTGAAGACCCGTAAAGATAAGGCTTGATGAAACCATGATCTAAATGGCATTTCTTAGCAATCAGACCTTACACCCTAGTGAGACTGAAAAAAAGTACTATTTAAAAAATAGTACTACATCCCTAGAAATATTCATCTCTTTTGACAGGACACAGAATACTAACAGGGCTGAGATCATCCTTATTTCCCCTATTTCATGACTACAAAAGTCAATCAAATACAAATCTTTCATCCTAAATTGAATTTAACATGACTTTACTTGCTTAGCATTTCCCTTTGTGATCATGCGTTTACTACAACTTTGTAATTAACTTTCTGAAGGAAGAGCTACTATACACCAGCTGAAATAGGAACAAACCAAAGAGACATATTTTCCCAATTTAGTGATTTTTAAAGGTATGCAAAATGCTTTCCAAAGAGAACTGGGAATCAGTCTTCCATTAGACAATGGGATACTAAAAATACCAGGGTTTGGGATGGGAATGTACTCTTGGATTTCTCCTGTTCGGGCCTTTTGGAGATTTCACAGCTCACTTGCCCATTTTTTTCCATCCCTGTCCTTCCTTGCTCAGCATCTTCATCTCTGCCCTCATTCTCTGGTTCTTCCTTTCTCTTCTTCATACTGCCTCTCCGCACTCCTTTCTCCAACTGGCATCTCCCTGCCCTGGGAAGCATTTTTTTTTTGCTCTCTCTTTTTTACCCTCAGAATTTGTCCCCAAATCCATAACTGTCCTCTGGCTCCCAGGAGCAATCTCACACATGGACGGAGGAGATGGTTCCAAATTAATAGCTGATGGCAAAATTAGGACAAGGACACATAGACTTACTCTATAGACTAAATTCTACAGTGAAAAAAAAGTTATGACTCTAGACACATTTTAGGCATGTGTATTCAGGGAGGACTAGCATCTCGCATGTGAGGACTTACTAGCCCTCTTCAGGGCTGCCAATCTGCCTTTGGTGTCTACTTTTCACCCAGCTCTTCCCTATGGTTACAAGAAGCTGTGGTTTCAACAAGCATGCACAGCAGCCACATCCTGGTAAAACCACCTGAACAGATGGGCTGACTCACTTAGAGAGTAACCTACAAGCCAGAAAATCTATCACAGTGAGTCAAAAGGATGTCTATCCCAAGCATCTGAAGACATTCCCCAGTGGAATGGGTGCATGAAAACAATTTGTTCCAACAGCCACAAAAGCAGCTAAAGTGGGCACTTAGAACTTGGCCAGACCCAAGACACCACTGCAACCCAGGCCATCGTCACTCTTGACTTTTGTCTTGCCACTGGACTTAGCTGACTCTGGAAGAGAGAGTGAGACTACTTTGTACAACTCTCTCTCGTTGAAATCCAATTCATGCACAAGTCAACGCATTGCCCAGTGATGTCACTGGTCTCTGCAAAAGGAAAGATGTGTGTGTGGAAAAATAGGTGTGTGGAACTTGGGTCACCACGCCATCTTATGCCAGGCATTGGGAAATACCAGTGACCCTGGATTTTCTGCCATCCTAAGTGGCCAATTAAAGTAGCCAAAGCCTTGTTCCTGGCTCCCACTTGTCCTCAGGCCCATCTACGTCCAGGACCCAACAACCCCCCCCCCCACCCCCAGGTGACCCTACTTGGGCCTGTCCTCCCCCACGTGCCTCATGCACCCCCAAACCTCCCCACACCTGGCTGGCTTGGTCCCCCATCCCTTCCTAACCCCCCAAGTGTTTTTGGGGTCAGGGGTAGGGGCACGGGGGGGGGGGGCGTGGGGAGGCCTGACACACACAGCTCCCTCAGCCCCCTGGATGCCCCTTCTCCTCACCGAGGCCCAGGCTGTGAACCTCGAGCTGCCCTTGATCTCCGGGCAGGGGAACCTGCTGTGGTTCCAGGGCAGAGCCCATGGGGAGCCAGCCCCGGCCTGTGCCCTCCGCCTGGCCTCAAAGTGTGTCTGAGAGTGGGCGGCCGTTGGGGGCCAACTGACTGGGAGGATGGGGAAGGGGACAAGTTCTAGCACGTTATTATCACGTGGCTGCCGGGGGCGGGGCGTCCTGGCCGCGGGCCAATGAGCGGGATGGCTTCCTGATAGGCGGGGCGGGCTGAAGTGTGAATAAGGGCGCCTTGCTCACCTGCCGCTGCAGCGCTCAAGCACCGCGTGCCCAAAGGGCGGGCCTCGTTCTCGTGGCTTGAGGCACGCGTGACCTTGATTAGCGCTGAAGGCCAAAGACTACACGTGCGGGCGAGAGGAGCTGCCCACGTCAGAGCCCCGCTCCCTCCCTTCCTTTGCTGGGGCCTTTTCTCGGCTGCAGGCGCGTCAAGAATGAAGGGTGCCCCACGCCTCCCCCACTCTCAACCTCACCCCAGCCCCCCCCCATGCTTTTTTCCCATCATTCGGACCGCAGGTGCTGGGCCCGAGCTGGGGCTTCCTGAACCCACCTGGAGCCCCTGGAGACGCAGACCCAGCGTTGGTGCTTCCCCCCCCCAGGTAGGATAACTTGCACAATTGCAGGATGTTGGGGTAGGAAGAACCGTGACTAACTGTCCTGTCTCAGGGCCATTGAATGGACTCTGTTCTTTGGCCTCCTGTGACCTTTCACACCCGGCCCTCGTAACCTCTGCAAAGGACCCCCCCAATCTTCCCCTCAGAGGCCAAACTCTGCCCCACTTTTTTTATTTAAGTAGAATGTATCAAGGGTGAATATATTCTGGGGTGGGGCTGGATAAATGTTCCTCCTCTTAAGAAACTCCATGATTTTTAAGATATAGATAGATAGATAGAGATATACACATATGTATACGTACTTTAATAGGGTAAAAGCAATTACTTTTTGACCCCTTTTATACCACCGTACAGTCACAGTTTTTCTTGCCAAGACTATGATAAGTTCAGTCATTTTTTTTCTTTCAAGATCTTGCTAGTAATATTTGTTGTAACCAGTAAAATTACGACTGAACTTCATTTTGGAGTAACTTATTTTTTTGGACTTCTAGGTGGTGAAGTGAATAGAATAAGTGGCTTGGAGTCAGAAAGACCCAAGTTCAAATCTGTCCTCAGACATCACACAGACATAGCTGTGTAATCCTGAGCAAGTCACTTAACCCTGTTTGCCTCAATTTCCTCATCTGTAAAATGATCTGAAGAAGGAATTGACAAACCACCTTAGTACCTTTGCAAAAAAAAAATTCAAATGGGGTCACAAAGAGTCAGCCATTACTGAAACAACTCAACAAGAAAAAAATATGTAATATGGCTATTTTGCACAGAGATGTAGATATACATTATATGCAAATACAAATAAATACTACATATAAATAGATAGATTATATATAATATACATGTGTGCAACACAAGTCGATAGTGAAATGAAAATCTGTTTTCTTTTTTCAAATTAGTTTTTTTTTTAATTATCTAGCATTTATTATAATTTTCTCCCACTTCCCCTACTCCTGTCCCCCTAACATTGGGGGAAAAAGACACTTGCAACAACATGCATAGTCCAGCAAGATAAATTCCAGTATTGAATGTGGGCAACATTCTCAGATCAATTGACTTTCACTGGACAATGCATAGAGAAATGATTTGAAAGATATAAAATATTGCATCTGTCCTACTAACAAGTACACATCAGACAACACTGAGATGCTTTTTAAGGATGGTGCCAGTCAACACATTTATAAATGACTTTGCTGACATCATAGAAAGTATGCCCATCAAACTTGGGGATGAAGTAATGCTAAGACAAATCACTAACAGACTAGGTGGGGATCAGGAGAAAGGAGATCTTAGACTAGAACACTGGGCCTGATAGAATCAAATGAAAATAAAAAAGAATAAATGTCGAGTTTGATCCTTGTATTCAGTGTCAATATCAGAGACATGGTATATATTCCTTTGTGGCAAAGGATACCTCCCACACCTGGCTCTGGAAGTCTTTTTCCCCCTTTATGGAGTCCTCATAAAATTTGCCTTCATTCTAGCTGTCTGCTGTACTCTGAGGATTGGTAGGTTTCTAGAGTCCATCACAGTCACTTCTTTTTGCCATGAAGGGTCATGGTCCCTGAAGCTGCTGCCATACTTAGGTAGTGACTATCTTTCCACATCCAAGTGCAACTGTTTCCACTCCCCTGAGCCAGTAGTGTTCCAATGGCCACTGTTCTGCTGCAATTCAGCTTTGATCTCTGACGGTACCTTTGGATCTCCCCAGCTCACAAGGTCATTTGGAGACTTCCATTTTGGAATACTCCTTTACCTGATTAGATTAAGAAAAAAAATACAGAGAAGAGGTAGCCATGTGGTCATAATCAATATGGCAGGATGGGAAATGTGCTTCCAGCCCTTCTCTACCCCTGTGACTTGGTTCCAACTCTAAGGAGCCCTTCCTCATAACCATAAAGAAAAGCAATGAAAGTACAGGTCATTCCTTTTGTATGCCTGCTGAGCTCAGTCATTAGTTTTTCTAGCTCCACAGCTAATTAGATGACTTCATCATCACACAGTAATCTATTATACTTGTTCAGAAATAAGCTCTCACCAAATTTCCACATTGTAACTTAGACTAAAGCAGGTGGAGGTGCATTCTCCACGGACTGGTCTCCTCTAGGACAGTCCACTTTGATTATATGTAAAATAAGGAAATTATTTATCAACACAATGACCAGCCACAACTGCAGAGGAATCATGAAGTATGCTTCTCACCTCCCCAGACAGGTGAGAGATTCAAGGTGCAGAAGAAGAGATGTATGGAAATGGCCTAAGCAGAAATTTGTCTTGACTACATATGTTGGTTGCCAGAGCTTTTGTTTTTCCTTTTACTATTTCAACTAAATGTAAAACAAAGAAAGGAAATTAAAGTAAGTATCATCTCAGATACCTCTCTAAATCTAGGAATTCTTTCCACCTTTTAGTGCAATATAATCTTTCTATCAAATCCAAGATTTTTTGGTTTTGTTAAATTTAATGGCAGCTTTGAAGAAGAAAAAGACATTCTATGTGGATCAAAGCATACTATTTGCTCTTTTTTTCTTCTGTTTTGTTTCTTCTTTCTTGTGTTTCCTCTGTTGGTTCCAATTCTTCTTTACAACATGACTAATGTGAAAATGTTTAATAGGAATATATATGTAGAGTCTATATCAGATTGCACACTGTCTTGGGAGGGGAAAGGGAAGGAGAGAAAATTTAAAACTCAAAAGCTTATGGAAGTGATTGTTGAAAACTAAAAATAAATTAAAAAAAAAAGAAAAAGACATTACATTCTAATGGGAGAGGAGAGGGGATAAGGCAATAGTGGCTTAGCATCCTTACTGCTTGCCTTTTGTGTTTCTTCCATTATTGTCATCTGTCTTCTATTGCTGTTTCTCTTCCATCTTTGCTTCTCTAAAACTGAGGGAGCATGGAATAGTGGCTAGTGTTCTAGGCTCAAAGTTAGGAAGACCTGAGTTCAAGTGTCTCTTCTGACACCAGTTGTGTAACCCTGTGTAAGTGACTTAATTTTTGTATGCCTCAGACTAGTCATCTTTTGGGCTTCTTGGGCTGAGCTTCTCCAGAAAAGGAAATCACAGATGTTTTGTGCAGTTTCTCAAATAAATAATAATAGGTTGTTAGAGACTTCTTGCTACTGTCCTTTGAAGAAAACACAAAAACATTTCTTTAATCATCTGCATTTGCTTTTCCAAATCACCATTGACATGCCTTACTATTATTGAAGTTACTTCTTAGATATATATCAGTCCCTGAAGTTCATAACCATAGCATTATTCTGCAGCTCCCCCTCTTCCTCACCCTATGTGGTGAGGGCAATGTCCAAACCTCCTTCCCCCATGAAGATTGAGCTAGTTTTTCCTTGAAAAGCAATAAAATGGGGCAGCTAGGTGGTACAGTGGATAAAGCACCAGCCCAGGACTCAGGTGGACCTGAGTTCAAATATGACCTCAGACACAACATTCACTAGCTGTGTGACCCTGGGCAAGTCACAGCCTCGCTAAAAAAAAAAAAGCCATGCCTGTTCCTAGGTCTTGTTTGGCTCAAAGAGCTAGGGCTCAACCTGGCCTTGGTACCTACTGGACACATGGACTTGGCTTCCTGGATACCAAAGGGCATAAATAAGTACATTCCAATCATGTTGGGACCTTTCCTGTATGGTGGTTGTTGTTCAATCACTTGTCAGTCATGTCCAACTTTTTTTGACCCCATTTGGGGTTTTCCTGGCAAAGATTCTAAAGTGGTTTGCCACTTCCTCTCCAGCTCATTGTACAGATGAGGAAGCTGAGGCAAACAGGGTAAAGTAACTTGCCAAGATTGACAGCTAGGAAGTGTGTGAGGGCAGATTTGAATTCAGGAAGATGAGTCTTCTTGACTCCAAGCCTAGTGCTCTATCCACTGCTCCACTTAGACATCCCCAAACCCCAAGACTTTGCACACCCTGCTGTGCTGATCAAAGGAGTTTCCACATGGAGATGCATGGTGCCATCTACCCAAGCTCAAAGCTGGAGTATACATTTTCTGTGTTATAACTAAATAAACCTTAATTGATAAACCATTGAATGATTTACTAGTGACTCATTTCATTCCAACATCAAAACTGAACTAAGAGGTTGCTAGCCTAAGTCAGATCCATTCCTGAAACACCACATATCCAATCAATTGAAAGATCTGATTCCTACTTCCACAATATCTCTTGTATCTGACCAATTTCTCTTTTTTTACACAGCTCACCACTTTACTTTATAACCTCTCATTTAGAAGAATGAATCCTAATTGGTCTGTGTGCGCAAAGTCTCTCTCCACTCGAATCCATATTTTATAGTGCCAACATGATTTTCCTTATGTACAGATCTGACCATATCATTCCTCCTTACAATAAACTCCAGTGGCTCCCTATTGACTTTAGGATAAAACAGAAGCTATGTTGAGCTTTTAAAGTCATTTACAACCTGGCCCCAATCTATTTTTCTACCTCATGGTAATTGCTCCTTTTCCTCTGGATTCTGTGGCTTTCACTGTGCTTCACAAATGCTTCACTG